GAAGGTAGAGGTTGCAAGGATGTGCACTGAAAGCTGTTGAAACAGAGGGGCTGGGAGGTAAAGGGGGAAGAGATAGCAATGTAAGGGGTTGAACAGACCAAAATAAAGTACATCTGCAGCAGGGATTCATAGAGAAACCCCTTTGAACATCAACTTAAATATTAATAATGTACAGCGGGGGAGGTACTAGTGGGAGGGGGAGGGTGAATGAAGGAGATTAAGATGAGGGTATATGGTTGATGGACTTCATATACTCACATGAAATAGGACTTATATGAGTAGCAGGGAGGGCTGTTGAGGGGGAGAGAGGAAGGGTATGATTTAACCATTGTACAATATAAGACAGATTGGAACTGTCACTCTGAATCCTCCCCATAATGAATATATCCTAATAAAACATTTTTATTAAAAAAAGATCAAGTTATCAGAGAGAGGAGGAGAGCTGTGTCTAAGGCAGGGTATCTCTTCCTTTAAAATTGCCAGGAAACTCTGTCTGGCTTGGAGCCCATCTTGCCCCACCACAGGAAATTAAGTAAGAGTGTTTGGCTCTGGTGACAAATGCAGGGCTTTGGGGTATTGGAAAGTTACAGGAAATTAGCAGACAGGACAGCTCACTTGGCAATAAAGTTTAGAAAAAAAGGTGTAGAACAGGGCTAAGAAGCAGGATTTAAGGTTTTTTTTTTAACCTGAGAGCAAATGCTTGAATAACAGATGATAGATGGTTTTTGGACATAGCAGGGTGATTATATAGAACAAATATTCTCACGTGGTTTTCACGCAAGACAGTCTTAGAAAAGGATCACAGTTACATATCCCACATGAATAATAGGTGAGTCTAGATTCTTTCCTGGGGCTCTGACACTTGTAGGTCACAACCCTGCCACCAGGGTCTAAGGCAATCCATTCCTTAATATACCATATCTGAGGCAGGTTAATGATAAAAAAGATGGAGACTCTTAAACATGTATGACTTACAATACTATATTTCAGGCTGAACATTTTCTTTCTGAACCTCCTTTTCAATTTCAAATATGCGCGAAGTGAAACCCCCTAGCCCTGGTAAAGCCCAAACTCCTGTCCACTCCCTGATGATTGGACTGCCCAGGCTTTCTCCCCTCCCATCAGCTAGCACAGGGTTAAAAATGCCTTGAAAACAGAGAGAGCACTGTCTCTGCTTCAGGCTCCCACCTGGCTCACCATGGCCTTTTGTAACTCCTTTCCCTAACATTTAATAAACTTTTATGATCACCCCCACTATGTCTACATATCCTGCCGGCCTGGATGCATCCGCATAGGATATACGAATATGAAATTTTCTGTTTACCAGCAACTGTGACATATCCCTCCCCCTACTTTGAAAAAAAAATCACACAAATGTTATGAAATTGTAGAAGTGGACTGGGAAGTCTGTATTTTAGATAGAGTTACAAGTGAGGTCAAACTAATGAAAGATTGAAATGAAAGGAGGAAATGACTCCTAGATATGAAAATAATACATGATTTGCCAAAGAATATGTGTATATGCACATGGAACATTAGCCAAAAGTCTGTAGAATTCAAGCTTCATTAACTTCAAAAAAATAAATGTTAAAGACTTATACCCAAGAATGCTTAAAGTTTTAATTATGTGCATTTTAGTTTTGTGATTTGAGTCATTCCCTCTGATTAAAGACATCAATCAGTAATCATTAGTTTACTCTTTAACATTAACAAAACTAAAGAAGTGAAAACTATTAAGTTTTACATGTGAGTTAAGTGAAAAATATTAACTTTTACATGTGAGTTAGTGAACGGGAAAAAGATTCTGTAGATAAGACGTACTTTTGTGCCCCTGAGAGCTTAAGTGTTTGGGTGAAAGAGAAATTTCCGGGCAGTTGTCAGATGTTCAACGCACTGGAATTGGCTGGGTCCAAGCCAAGCACTCTGAACTATAAAGGTAGCTCAGGTAAAGATCTTGGTCACAGAGGGAATGAACAGAAAGGTTCTCTAGGATAACTACATGAGATGGGGAAAGGGTGGCACTGGAAAATGGAGCAGCAGGGCTGGGCAGAAGGCTCTGCTGTGCTGGTGGGTGGGGGAGGGGCTCTTCAGACTATCCCCTTTTGTGGGCCTCCCATGCTTTGTGATGTAGGCTGCAGACCTGGGTATATAGCCAAGCCCACACCCCACTCAGAACTCAGTTGCCTCAGGCAGCAGTGCGATTCAGATTATGGAGAGTATCTCTTTTCTGAAGAGCCACATAGAGCTATGGCTGAAATATAGCTCAGCTTTCTTGGATATTGACCCCAAGTGCACCTTTCTTAGTGCCTTGGGGTTGCTACTTCTGTACCTGTGTTACAGATTATCGAAACCAACTTTACCAACCCACGCCAAAAAGAACATCCGAAAGGTAAGAAAGTAGGGTAAACCCCAAGAAAGAGAGATTCTTTGTTGGTGTTTTCCATCTCTGTTCTTACATTACTGAATGAGTTTGGTTGTCTCTGAGAGACATCTGACATGGGAAGTCTGAGGAGAAGACAAAACATCATGACTCTAGGCTATGCATCTTAGTAAGTGAAGGGGTTCATGGAGAGAAAGGTTTCCATCTGAAGTCCACAGACTCCCTCTCTGCCTGTGCTATAGGGGTTCAGGATAAAATCCCAAATAGTGATTCTGATTGGCGTAGCTAGAGAGATTGGCTTTCATGAAGACTGACACTTGATCTGAGTCCCATCCCCATGTCAGGTGTCCCTTCACCAAGCATTTCTTTGTGCTGGGCTGGTCAGGAGAGCTGTGCTGACCTCTGAGGGCCTCTGAGAAGAGCCTGGAGCCTGAGCTCTGTCCCCAGGACACAAGGTCCTCTGAGGAAGCACAGATGTGATTGTTGGCTGCAGATTCTATGCTCTCCTTTTGACTGAGAGCCCCAAGTGTGGACAAAACCTGCCTTCACCTTTAAAAGCTAATAAAAGAAAGCAAAAAATCTCTGTTAATCAAATGGACAGTCATATTCTACCTGGTTAGTGGATGTTGGACTGGCTACAAAGAGAGCAGTATAAGTGAGTCATAGCCCCTCATTCTTTCCTTTTTTGTTCCCAGCACCAGGGCAGATATAAGAGGAGGAGAGGTGCGTTTACAGATATGTCTTCCTATTTGACCTGAGCTCTCCAAGGGTGCGGCCTTGAATTCCCAGCCCCATGGTCTCTGAGGCAGTCAGTTCCTAGATAGTCTCTCTCAGCACACAGAACCCTCAGAGGAGAGGCTCACAGGAAAGCAGTCATTCCTGAGACACTTCTCAGAGTCTGCACTCTGCTCAACCGTGGGCATGAGACCTGTACAGCGGGTACTGATGACCAGTGGTGACATGTCATGTCGAGGTTGGACTTCACGATGCTTTAGGATCAAAACTTATGTCTCCTGACATTGTGTAAAGTGCTTTACCCCTTAATATGTTAAGCAGCGTACCTATCCTAAGGGACTCCTATAAGATGCTTATTTATTTCTAAGGGACTCCTGTAAGATGCTTATTTCTAACTTCATTTTGTATAACCCACACGCTGATTTTCCAGGACACAGGACTTTCCAGAGAAAAGTGGAGGAGGAGGAGAGAGAAGCAGAAGAGTGGAAGAAGCTGCTTTGCATTGTGACAAGGTGATCTTCATGTCCTGATCCTGTTTTAGTATGTTCCATGCATCCCAGGAATTCAGTAAGCCTGCCCTAGTCAAGGGAGGGGCAGCCACAGCAACAGGCATAACAATGGGGATCTTGGGGACAGGCTACAGAATGGATTGTGAGGTCATATGTATGTGGGAGAAAGTAAAGGTCATACCAGGCTTCAGGTTTTCCACCCCTACTATGGCATCAGGCCCTCTGTTCTTTTGTGTTGGTCCTGGTTATAACTTTGCATTTTGTCTCCCTTAGCCTCAAGGACAAGCAACATGATTCCACCCGCTTTCGAAAACTGCTATGTCCAGACCCCCTGTGTGGGTTTTGCAGTAAAACAGCTACTGAGGTCAGTAACCTGATATCTCTGGCGTCCTTGGAAGTTTCTACAGCTTCTGAGTCCCCAGTGGGATCCCCAGCATCTAAGAAAGAGTCATCATCATCCCTTACCTCTCCTCTCTCAGAAATCCCTCCAGAACATCCAAATCCAGGCCCTACACTTGAGCCTTCCATTCTCTTACCTAAACAGGACACTCCTTTGGAGGACTTACCTTCACTCTCACCACTGGATGACTCTCTGCCACCAGAGCCTAATTCTCCCTTCAATGCTAAATTCCCCGTGGACTCACTCTCATCCCAGAACCTTGCCTTTCCCACTCCCCTACCTCATCATACCCAAGATGCAGACCTTGTGTTCCCACAAGATGCCACTTTGCCTCCGGAGGGCAGCCCTGGTGGGTTGTCCACTTATTATGACCCAACAACCAGGGCCACTAGCCATTCCAACTTGGCAACATCAGAATTTTCACAGAGAGAGCCTGGTGAAAAGAACTGCTTCTCTTCCACCTTGGCACAGTATGAAGCCACACAGGATTTCCTTGCTCTCCATTCTTCTGAGGCCTCTTCTGGAGGTGACCCTGCAATATACCTTAAAGACCCTGGCAACCTCTCATTTGTCAACCTTGATGTCTTCTCATTCCTGGAGAGACAAATCAAAGAGAGAGGTGATTTCTTAATATTGAAAGAAAAGGAAAGGCAAACAGAACCTTTTCCAAAACAATTTAAACTAGAGTACCAACTGAATTCTTCAGGGAAAATGTTAGAGTCAGTTGCTGATCAGCAGGACTCTGCAGTCTCCCTTCCTTTTGGGAGCAGCAAAGGCAAACCAGTGCCCCAGCACTGGCACATGCCTCAGCAGCCTCCATATCTAAAGAACTCTGAACATGAGTCACCACAAAAAGATACCCAACTTTTCTGGGGTCTTCCATCAATTCACAGTGAGTCACTGAGCACTACTATTCCTGCCTCAGGTGACTCTTTCTTTATCTGCTTCAACAGAATGTTCAGTGCTTCTACAATCCATGAATCCCTCTGAGTCAAAGAACAGTGATGGACTCTCATGGATCTCTTCCTTAAAGAATCAGAACAGCAAAGAGCTGAACAATTTCCAACTGAGCCAGCCCAATACCTTCCGGAAGAGGAGTTCAGAGATGTTTCCTCTAGAGGAGGGAGTGGGGAAGGAACAGGGACATAGTTTAGAGATTGGCCCAGATGATCATCTGGCCAGTGATCAAGATGGGCCTTCAGATAATGGTCTAGGCTGTGACTCTGAGACAGACACAGTAAATAACTCAGAGAGTCTGTCCAGGAATAATTCAAGAACCTCAGTGCTGAGCCTAGATCAGAACCAACTTAAGGATGCCATGGAAATAAATTTGAACAAGAAATTTGAGGAACTCAGTGAAGGTCAGACTCCTAGCGCTGTGCGTAGTTCACAGCAGTCTATGGAGATGACCTTGCCTCCACCTGAGAAACCCCCTGTGAAATAAAGCAGAGTGATTTGGCACCAATGATGGGCAAAGGCAGTGACCTGAACATTCCCAAGGATATCTCCCTCCCTGATTCCAAGAAACGAAAGATTTTGGAAGACCATATTAAACTTTTTCATATGAGGATGATTAGTGGCCTTCCTCAGAGGGTCCAGGAATCAATAAATAACTTTAATGTAAGAGGAGGCAATCTCAGGCTTGTCCTGACTTCAACTTTCCATCTTCTACCACCCTAATTTCTGAGGTGGATTCCAACCGTGGGGTCTCCAAGGCCCTCAGAGGAAACCCTAATGCTTACATTAAAGAAAAGATGGGGACAAATAATCCAGTCCCCAAACTAGATTATAGTCTCCCTGCTGCCTCACCTGGGGGCAAGGAAGGGCAGGAGCCCCAAATGCAATCATTCTCTGATATCGAGAATGATCATATAGCCAACATTCACAGAATGGATGACAAACAGCTTTTTCCACACCAGACCCAGAGTGTCATACAAAAGGCCAGTCAGAAACAGTCTGTAGTGGGCAATACATGCATCATCCCAAACCTGCCCACAAGAGCATCTGAGGCTGTACCTGAGCCAGTTGATAAGACACTGAGCTCCAGAAACACGGTACAAAAGCCGTGGGTGGAAAGAACGTATAGGGGAAAGTCCTCCCTCTCTACTAACTCTAGGGAGACATTTAAGGTAGAGGAGCTCTGTGGTCTCCAACCACGACCTAGTATGTTGACAAGCAGAGACAGGGGCAAGTTCCCAGTCATAGGTGGGAATCCAGGTAACTCAGAAAGTACCCTGGCCACTGAAAAGTCCCCAGGGGGAACATCAGTTCCTCACTATCCTGACGTGAATTCAAGAAAAATAGAAATGACCCTGGCTAATGAAAAGTTCCAGAGGGGAACATCAGTTCCCCATTATCCTGATGCAAATTTTAGAAAAGGAAAATCTACTCTGATCACTGAACGGTCCTCAGTGGGAACATCAGTTCTCCATTATCCTGAGGTGGATTTTCAAAAAGTAGAAGCTACCCTTACCACTCCAAGGCCCCCAGTGGGATTGTCAGTTACACGTGATCCTCAAGCATGTGATTTAAAAAATCAGCTGATGAAAGAGTTGAAGCTGAAACTGGAGAGCAGGAAGCAGAGCCAGGCTCAGAGCCTTCCTGCTGATGTGCCCCTGGCCTCAAACGCATCGACTTTCAAGACTCCTGACCGTGGGGTCCCTAGTGGCAATATGGCAAATTTCCAGGTGCTGCATGTCCAGTTGGACAACACAAAGACCCACCTGGAGCAGGGTCAGGAGCCCTGCATCACCGAGCATGACTTGCAAAAGGGTCAAGGAAAGAATTTGCCATCAGCTGCCAAATTCACGAGCCATTCTGGGCTCAAAACAGGAGAGTTTGGTGGAGGGGACGCACGGTTGGAGACATCCCAACCCAGGAGGAAGAGCTGCTACCCTCAGGACAGGGCATCAGAGAAGATACATGAGAGCAAATCATCCTCAACCCTGTCACTGAAGGGACAGCCTCCCCCTGAAAACTGCTTCAAAAACCAGATGAAGTACTTTCTTCAGTGGCTTTGCCCTGGAACAAGAGGCAAAGGGCAAGGAAGTTCAATGGGAAAGGGCAGCTCCCCATCCTCATCTGTGCAGGGCAGAGGACTAGGTAAGGGGAGAGCTGCCTTTACTGGGAATAGCAAAGATGAGAAAGACACAAAAGGTTTCACAAAATTCCTAGGGGAAAAATCTTGGAGAGATGCAGTAAATGGCACCTGCCCCCAAGGGCCCCTTTTGTCTTTTACGAAGCTTGGGAAAACTCAGAACAAGGCAAAACTGCAGGTCCAGCCCAAGACTGATCCTGTCCAGGGGCATCACTTCACCCACAAAGCTTCCTGCTCTAAAGTGCTATGTGCCCAGTCCTGCAAGCAAGAATGTGCTTTTTCTGACCTGAGTTATCTTAAGAGGAACAAGCAGACAAGAGAAGGGGGCGGAAAACCCCCAATTAGTGTGCCATTTAAGGAGCAGAGGCGTGCTCCACCCTTGCCCAACAGGGAGCCTGTGCCCCAACCCAGCTCCACCAGCAGGTCTCAAGAGTGGCAGGTGCCTCTGGCTGCCACTACCATTCTGGAAGGCACTAGGCTGGCAAAATTTTCCCCGATGTTGAAAGATAACATTGTTCTTCAGCATTTCAAGGGAGGAAAATTTCCTTCCCCCAAATAAATAATTCACTTCTCCAATAAATGTTCTTCAATAAACTGCATATCTCCAGTAAATGTTCTTACAGAAGTGCTGTCTTTTTTGTGGGTACTGGTTTTGGGCAACTCAGGGCTTGTGCTTAGAGAAAGGAAGATGTGCCCCTTTCGACTGCCTCTACTGGCTTCTACAAGGTTACCAGTCTGCTAGAGCTCTTGTTGAGGAATGACTGGCCCCACCCCCAAATCTCCTTCCCTCCCTGTTGAAGTCTGAGGATTCAGTGCTTCTTCTTCCTACCTCGTAGCTTAGCCACAGTGACATTGTACGGTAGCTCACATTTTCCCCCACACTGATTGCTTCCTGTCCTCCAAAGTCATAGGGAAGACAGGTCTTTTTAGCTGTAGGATCAGGGGTGGGACTATTTTTCAGAATAGAGTGCGTGACCCTATTGTGGGAGTCTTTGAAGGTACTGCTGCAGTGCACACTGGACTGGGTGGGGCTGAGTCTAGGAACGAAGAGGATGCTGCTGAATAATCTGTCATTTGGGCCATGGTGACGGCTTTCTAAAGCACACTTTGACCTCGCCTTGGAGGTTTCCCTCCTGACAAATCACTCAAGGGAACCGGATCCCCTCCATGGTTATTTCTTCAGTCTGCCCTGGGCTGATGACATTTTTGTAGAGAAAAAGCAAACTTGAGCTGTCAGTGTAGGAATGTCACACAAGGTAAAATAAAGATGAGAGGAGAAAATTAGAGTATGAAAGTCAAAACAGAAAGGGTAAAGACTGACCTTGCCAGTAAAATTAACACTTATGCCCCATTACCCCACATCATGACCTGTTCCTCTTTTTCCTACTGTGATCCTATCAGCACTTCCTCAGGGCTGATGAAGACACCTGAAGGTTTACTCATGTCATACTGGCAAGTGTACTTTAGGTGGGACTCTTGGAGCACTAAATATCTGCCAGGCTCTCATCAAGCTACATCTGTCTCTAGGAAAGGTGACCACCTTTCATCTATACTTGACAACATGCAGGATCTCTCCCTTAATGAGTACAGTTCACATGTCTTTGATCTACCTGGGCTTGGTGGAGCCATGGCAGATCTCTCCCGGGTTACCTGCACCTCATATTCCAGAACTGAGTCCTCAACTCTGCACAGGGTCACAGGCATTTGGGGGCTTATTATGGACCTGTATGTAATGCTTTTATTGTTCAAGTCTGTGCTTAAAGATATCCACTCTTAAAGTAGTTGTCTGGAGGAAAGATAACGCCTCTTGTAAGAGACTCAAAATTTGGATGTTTCCTACAGGATAGTTGAGGTAGTTCTTACAGAAAAATTTGTGAATTCCACATGTCAAAAACAAAAACAAAACAGCTCTCTATTATAGTCTCCTCTCTGTCCAGAGATGTGCCATTGAGTCTACAGTGTGTGTGTGCAGATTATGTGGTGGGCCAGGAAAGACAGAAGGTACAGACACAGTAGGGGATCTGAATATCCATGAGGATGGGCAGCCAATAACTGGTCTCTGAATTCTTTATTGTCCTAACTTAGGATCCTTTATTTCAATTGCTGTTCAGTTACCCCATATTCTAGAATCATCACCAGGAACATATCTGCCATCTGGGGGTAGCACAAAGTTTCATTCCACCTTTCGACCTCATCCCCCTATCCTTCCAGCATATGTCCAATTTGTCAATTCCACATATTTAACAGTTGCAGTCTCAATTTTATAACTGTCAATTTTTCCACTTCCCACTCTATCGACACTATCTTCATATCCTCATCTTCAAGGCAGAATTCATTGTCTGTCATTGAAACATTTAAAAAGCTCCACTCCAGCAGAGAATAGTGGATGACACCCCCAATCTCAGCTACTCCAGAGGCAGAGATCAGCAGGCAGTTTGAGGCCAGCCCAGGCAAAAAGGAAGACCCAATCTCAAACAATAAATCAGACACGGTGGCTCACATATGTAACCCAACTCTGCAGGAGGGGTGGGGAAGAGGATCATGGTCCAAGGCCAGACATGGGCAAAAACGTGAGACCCTATAGGAAAAATAAAAAATAAAATCAAACAAGGTCTGGGGCCACTGCCAAGGTGGTGGAGTGTCTCTAGATAACTGGAAGAACAGCATACACAGATCGGCATTTTGGAGAGATGACTGGCAGGAGAAGCCGGTGAGAGTCATGAAGAAATGTACAAATTAATCGCAGTATCACACAGCGTACTTTTGTACAGAGCATTACCCCACCCAGGGCGGGGCTGCTCCGGCCGTCCACACCCCCGAACTACGTTTCCCGGCAGCAGTGCGCGGGCAGTTGGGCTACAGGGCAGGTGTGGGTCAGCACAAGGGCAGCGACCCCGGCAGTGCTGCCTGACCTCTCCCGCTGATCAGAGGTCAGAAGTGCCCAGCACCCCGGGACTGGACGAGGACCGCAGGGAGAGCAGGCGCCGCTGTCACCAGGCCCCTCCCTGCCGAGAGCGCTGCTGGGGCCACCAACAGCGGTGTCCTGTGAAACCTGGCCTTTGAAACACCCAAGAGCCCCTGCAGTCCCAGGGTCTTCAGAGGACCAGGAGGAAGATTTTCACTCAGAGTCGACAGTGTTTTCCAGAGGGAAGGTCAAACACACCGAAAGGACACCAGCACACAGACCACAGTCACTTACAGGTGCAGCTGAACATATCTCCTGACCTTGCCATCTCTTCAGTTGAGCGAAAATTCGTATTGCCGACTTAACCATTTTCAAGGTACATTTAAAGGGCATTTAAGGCATTCACAGTGTTGTGCATCTGTCACCTCTGTTCCCACGGGGGAACAACTTTGGGGCAAGCTTAGGATCAGCCAGTCCATCACATAACCCCACTCTTAGTTAAGAAGCCTTTGTGCAAGCATTCCTAGAGACAGAGAAACTTAAATTGGATCATGGAGTTTGTTCCATCTGAACCGTAGGGAGGCCTATTGCCAGAAAATCAGTTGAAGCCAAATGGAGGAAAGTCATGATCAGGTGGGAGAATTCATTTTTGTAATCAGTGTTTTAGACCTTGAGGTT